CCCTTTGTGCTTTAGCTGTAGATGGGGTTGAAATGCTGACCTGTGGCTTTCCACACCCACTCCCCCGGTATCCCCAGCCTCCCTCCACACCCACCCACTGCATGTCAGAATAGAGGTCATGCCAGAATAGACCGTCATGTTTTTGATGGTCAGAAAAGGTAGGATTTTAGATGAGTAATTGGGACTCCTTTTTATTTTTTAAGGACCAGGTTGTAAAAAGCTATTCATTCATGGCTTGAACTACCTAATAATGTTTCCTGTGAGTAATAATGGTTTATTGGCCAAGGATCGTACTATACATTTTATGTGCTTTTTATCAATGGATCCTCGTAACTATCCTATGATATAAACATAGTATGTTCATTTTATAAATGAGGAAAATAAGGTTTAAACGATTTCCCAGGGTTTCATAGCTAATAAATGGCAGAGCCAAGATTCCAATCTGGTTTCATCTCACTCTAAGGTCCATGATCTAATGACTTTCTTTGTATATTCATATATCTGCACCAACCCCTCTGAAAGTCCATAGTTTGCAGACATAGAGGATGGGCAGCTCCGTGTTGGCTCACAGTCACATGTCATTTCTCTTCTGCCTGTCAAAATCGATGTCTGAGAAGATGCCTCTGAAGGTGGATGGAGCAAACCAAGTGCAATGCCTAGACCAGCATCCCACAGGGTGACAGCCTCCCACTCTCTCCTAGGTCCCTCTACTGCCATTTACAAGGAAGACTCACACCGGGTTATATTCTTCATGGTCTTTCCCAAATTGTCCTCTGTGGTTTTTCTCAGATTCCTAGGTGCAAGGTTCAATTGAAATGAGTTGTTAGAAGATTTCTATGATACAGAGTCACAGGAGAGTGGAAATGTGTCCCTGCTTCCTGCCCAGTGACATCTGTCAGGCTGAGGCTCCCTGAGGAGGCCGTTCTGAGACCCACTAGTTGTGGGACACACCAATGGGGCAAGAAGTCCTGTGGGCCACTGAACACTGTCCTGTGGGGGTAAGCCCATGGAGCTAAAGCTTAAGTCACATTCCCAAGCTACTTTTTATAGGACACAGAAAATATACAGATGTCTTTTACAGTGGTAATTAAACCATTCAGCTAGGAAGTACAAAATTAGCAGTGAAAATAAGATGGAATATGCATACTCTACTCCCTTCTCTCTTTCCTTCCTTCTCTCTATGGAAAGAAGAAACTCAAGGAGTTGGCCAGGCCCTGAGAGAGCAGTGTGCACACAGAAGAGCCGTAAAAGATCTTCAGAGAACTGAATATCTGTGCAACAATTCAAACAATGCTGACTTAACAGGAACCAACTGTGGTCTTTTATGAACAAAGCTAAATCATACCAGATACTTCAGGGCTAGTTTTGCAAAGAGGCCCCAAGACCACTTTCTCCAACAAAGCCATGGGTTCTACGTGTGCAAGTGTGGCCTAGGCGGTGGGACCTCATCTGTGGGTGCCAGGCTCCTGTCCCAGAACAAAACACCTGGCTGTGGGCTTGCATTAAACGGGTCCCACAGTGTTTGCCTGACACATTTTCTTCCTTTGTTCCTCTATGAAAAGCACACACATTTTAATTTCTTCATTTTCCTTGACTGGTTTTGTAGGTATGAACGGCAGAAATCCAGCCAGGTCAGTACACGTTAGTAAGACACAAACCAACATACAAAAACCACATGGGGAGAAGCATGGCTGTGTTCTCACATTCTGGATCCAGGGACTCCATGAGCCCCAAGAGTGTCAGGCCTAATGACAGTGAATGGAAGACAGTTAATACACAGGCACTGCTCCATGGTGCCTGTGGGAATGCAATCTCTTTTGGGGGTGAGGTGGGGGCAGGAGTACTGAAGTTTCAGACAGAGGAAAGGGCCTGATTTTCTCTAATAATTTCTGAAGAGCTGGAGAAAATCTGGTCTGGCACCAAGATGGAGGTGCCGCTTTCAGTCCATGCAGGAAGCAGCCTGGGCTGAGACCAAGCTCTGTCAGGGCACATAGCTCACCTGGCCTGGCTGCTGTGAGATCAAAGGGCCAGAAATGCTCCCTTTGTGCCTGGGTGCCCTTCTGGCTGGCCGGTCCTGGGGACTTCTTCACAGACCCACATTCTTTCCAGAGGGGACCCACTCTGCGTGCCATGGAGGAACTGCCTGCTCACCAAACAATCTGACTGTTGCCAGATGTGGGCACCTGGCCAGCTTCTGCATAACTCAAGCTTTTCTTTGCTCAAGATGGTACAATTTAAAGGAGGCTTAGAAGCTGAATTTTTATTTTTCCTCTTCTTCCTCCTCACCTGCCTTCATACTTTCCTTCATCTTGGTAGCAAACTCAGTCACCCAAACACGTGGTGGACCTTTGTTGTGTGTGGTATGCACCAGTACGTATGTCTGGAAATAACAAGACCCTGCATTTCCCTTATGTTTGCTAAAAATTAAAATTAAAATAACTTTGAGGATATGCTGTCCACATCCTGCTGCCTGGGCCTTGTTTTTCACTCATCCCTTCTGAAGTTTGAGGCTCTGAAATACCTGCTGGGAAGCTAGTGCTCAGGAATGTGAGAGGGGAGGGCCCACAGCCCAGCATGATAGAAGCAGATCAGTTTTATTCCTGTCATCAAAAGTAATCTTTTATAATTTAAAGTTTCTCTTCTCGTGTAAGAAGATCAAAGTACTGCCAAGAGCCTGTTAAATGAACACCAACAAACATATTTTGAAGTCAGGGCCTAGTTGGAACTTTCCCGCTCATCAAGCAGGTCCCAGGCTCTGAGAATTTCAATTCCCCTTTCATTTCTTCTTTCATTGCCTTCTGTGGGGATTCATACCACACCTGCTTTTGTCACCCAGATCTCTTCAGAGAGCCTGCTGAGCCCCAGAAGCTAACAATTTGGCTTTGAGACAGTCACATTTGCTGGAGCACACCTGCTGTGGGGGCCTGGGAGGGGAGCACATTCGTCTCTGTCACACACACACACAGTGGTTCAACCTTTCCCAAATAGAGCGACATGTCAAAATCCTCATTCCCAAATAGAATGAGATGTTGACATTCCTACTGTCATTTCAACTTTCCTTCCTTGTTGACGTCTTTCCACAGGAAGTCACTATCAGAACATGCCCCCTAGACATGGGAAAGAGGAAATGCAGGGTCCTCTGGCGCTGCACATTCTGGGCGAGAGAAACTTAACGGGAGGAGAAGACACACAGAGCAGTCAGGGGAAAGCTGAGATGTCACACTGGGCAGCCACTGAGGGGAAGTGTCAGAGCAAGAGCCTGGTCTTACTGGGCAGGCCCCTGCCCATTCTGTACTCTGCTTCTACCTCCTTCACCAGAGGGAACGGCGCTGTCCCTCATGGGCTGTAGGAGAACTAACTGACCGGTTGCAGTCCCCTCCACAACTCTGTCCCTTCTCATGGCTGTCCTTAATGACCTGTTATTGCCCTTTCCCATGGCCCAGCCCCCTCTGCCATTGGCTTTAGTAATTCATAATATCTCTCAGCCTTATCATCTAGAACAGTGATTTTCTTCTTTTTTTTTATCTCATGGCACACTTGAACTATAGTTAAATTTCTACAGTACACTCAAATTATGTTGATCAAAAATAGAATAAAAAGGGCAGCACCTGTGGCTCAGTAGGTAGGGTGACAGCCCCATATACCAAGGGTAGCAGGTTCAAACCCAGCCCTGGCTGAACTTCAACAACAAAAATATAGCCAGGAGTTGTGGCAGGTGCCTATAGTCCCAGCTCCTTGGGAGGCTGAGGTAAGAGTATCACCTAAGCCCAGGAGTTGGAGGTTGTTGTGAGCTGTGATGCCACAGCACTCTACCGAAGGCAAGAAAGTGAGATTCTGTCTCTACCAAAAAAAAAAAAAAAGAATATGCTTACTGTGCTTTGAACTTTTCTTAGATGAACAGATCTTAGGTGTGCTGCGAACATTTTTAAAGATCATAATCCAAAAATGTTTGCCGCACACCTAAGATCTTCCCAGGGTGCACCAGTGTGCCTTGGTTGAAAATTACCACCATAGTAGATGATGGCTGCGTTCTGTGACAGTCTCTTCAGTGCATGGGTTAAGCTCATGCTTCTTCAGAGGAGCAGATGGACACTTCAGCCTCTTCAAAACGACCCCACACACACATACAGTGTCTCTAGCTGGCCCTAGCACCTCATGCTGGCCAGGAGATTTTTATGGTTTATTTCACTATTTTGATAAATAATTGCACTGAGAAGTATTAGCTACCATTTTCCTCAGATTAGCCAAGAAGAAACAGCCTCTTTGCCTGCTTTTGGAAGTCACACACTTTCAGGAGGCTGAAAATCACTCAGAACCTCTGTCGTTTGCTCTGCATTTTTTGAGGGTGTAGATCCGAGCATCTGCTTTTCTCACAGACCCAGAAGTGACAGAAAGTCTTCCCACCAGCAATTCTGGATGGACCATCAGGGGAAGGCTGAGGAGCCGCTTGGAGACATGAGCTCATGGCAGTCTTGTAGGCCAGTTTCAGAATGTGTGTGTCAGGATGTGTTAGATCCAGTAGAATTCTACCACTGGGGTCATCCCAACACAGAAAATAAAAGAAAAGGAAAAAATACAACCTGGTCCAGAAGCCTGTCTGGCCTCACTCAACAGTGCAGTACGGAGAAGCCGAGGCATGGTCATCCCATGGTCGGCATGTTTCCTCAGCCAAATACCAACTGTTTACAGATCCTGACTCACCTGACACAGGGCAAGTGGCCAGGAGCTGACACTGGGATGGGCCACCCCCTACACTCTCCTGTTGATCCCTTGGGGCAACTTGGGGACTGGTATGCTCATTCCTGTCTCCCAAAGTACACTAGGCAGCAGGCCCCTCTGGAGGGAGGCGTGCATGTGGCTTGTGTGTGCCTGGCACCCAGGACTGGGGTTCAGCTTTCTGACCCCCTCTTGCCTCCTCCAAATCATTTCTCAGAGAAGCCTAAGGGAAGTGCCCACCTCTGCAAAGGAGGTGCCTATTTCTCTACAAAGAAAGGATTCAGGTGCTTGCTTTGGCAGCGCATATACTAACACTGGAATGATACAGAGAAGATTAGCATGGTCCCTGTGCAAGAAAAAAAAAAAAAGAGTGGTGCCTGCGGCTCAAAGGAGTAGGCCACAGGCCCCATATGCCAGAGGTGGCGGGTTCAACCCAGCCTCAGCCAAAAACAGCAAAAAAAAAAACAACAAAAAAAGGATTCAGCCTTGACTCCTAGGATGCCACCTGATGTGCCCCTGGGTTGGTTTGGGGAGGAAGGTTGAAGTATGGCTACTGAGGAAGAGAGCTTGGAAGGCCTCCTGCAACTGAAGCAGAATCTGGATGGGGAAGCATATGCCTCTGTAAAGGCATCTTGGGAGAAGCAGGTGTGATAGGGGAAAGAGCAGTGGCACTGGGCATCTATTCCTGGGTCACCACCACCCAGGCTGACCATTCTCAGCTCCACTTCCATCCTCTATATGCTAGAGATGACATCAGCCCTTCACAGTAATTGTATGGGCTGGACATGGGGCTCACACTTGTAATCCTCCCTCTGGGAAGCTGAGGGGGGAGGTTTGTTGAGCTCAGGAGACTATGCTGAGCCAGAGCAAGACCCGGTCTTACTAAAAATAGAAAAACTAGCCAGGCATTGTGGCAGGTGTCTGTAGTCTCAGCTGTTTGGGAGGTTAAGGCAGGAAGATAACTTGAGCCCAAGGGTATGAGATTGCAGTGTGATGCCACAGCACTAAACCTAGGGTGACAGAGTAAAACTCTGTCTTAACTTAAAAAAGGAAAAAAAAGAAGGAAAGTGATTTTGAGAGATTTACAGGTAGTGTGCATAAAGTCCCTGGCTCATAATAAGCCATTAATAAATGGGGACTTTTATCACTTTTTTTAATATTGGAGGCAGGGATATGTTGTAGTTACTTGAATTTGGGGGCTTAAGTTTGTCTTACCAGAAAATTCTAGTTGTTTTCATCCTCCTTGTGAAAGATGTTCCTAAACTGTATGCATGCATTTGTTTTCCCTCCATAGAGCTGCATGCAATAAGGTTTTTCCGTAATAATTAAGAATCTAGCAGCAGCCTGGGGCACTTCACTCCCAAAGTGAAGGCTTCTCATTGTGTGGCATTTACAAGCACATGTGGGAGGTCATGCAGGCCCAGGGGCTGGCATTCACCTCTCTAGGAAAGCAGATTTTGTTTTAAATAAATCCCTTATATTGGAGTACTTTACTAGGGTTTGCCTTTTACTTATCAAAGTGGACCAGAACTGTGTGGCTATGTTCCCAATCAAAGGTTGGCCCCTTGGTGATCAAAGTTGTGTTTCCTCTTCATTTCTGATGCACATTACTCTTCCCCAAGTGGGGAGAAAGTGGCACTAACACAGAAGCTCAATTTTAGCTGAACCCAAGACCAGGCTGGACCCAAACACCAGACTGAAGTCATAACTCCTGCAGTCATCTGGCATCCCAAATTTACCTCTAAGCCTGAGCACTTGAATTATATTAAGAAGAAGAGAAATGGAGAGATGGGGTGAGGGCAGAGGTTTCCCCTGCTTTTCTTATTAACTTGTGGTGAGGATTTAGGGTGGATCCATCACAAATCTTAGTTTGGTTCAAGACAATGAGTTTCTGCATCTCCATACAAGGGGAGGAGTCTTGGTTTGACTCTAGACTAGCCCAGCCCCATGTGCCCCATGCCTCAAAAAGTGTGTGGTAGCTGCCTGAGGTCCCTGGAACGCCAACGGCCTTAGCAGGCAGCAGGCTGATGAGTTGAGTGTAAATGAGTCAGAAACATACGGATCACATTTCCCTGAGAAAATAGATCACTTGGAACAGGAAGGGGCAAAGTGCTTGGGAAAATGCATTATGAATTTTGTCAAGGCCAAAACGGATGTAACCCACTTCGGATATTCTCTAAATGCCAAATGTGAGCTAGCTCTCCAAGCACGGCACTTGGTGTAGGGTATTGCAGGGCTGTGAAAACCCCACAGCTTGGAAACTTCACCATGACAGTATCTGCCCATACATCCTCCAAAGCTTGGGAAGTGAGTTCTGCAAACAGCCAAAAGAATGCGCAGGAGACAAGACAACAGTGTTGGTGTATCTAAAGGGGACACTGGACTCTAACTCAATGTGCTTTGTGAGAGAACTGTTCCGGCTCTCCCACTCCCCTCTCTTTTTAAAAATATTCTGAGTTGAAAGATATCAGATGGGAGAATCAATGCAAAAGTTTTCTATGTGTTTTTGGCTGATAAAAAAAAAATGCTTAAAGTAATGTTACTGCAAATGGATTCTGCTTTAACCAGGCCAAGTTTTAACCATTTCGCTAAAGGTCACGGAGAAAATGGATGAAAGAGAATCCAAAAGAGGTGCTCTTCACAGCCGGGTTGCTGAGTGGTGGGGAGACCACAAAACCCAGGAGACTTGCTGCTCCCCTAACGCCATCTGGGTGCTCACCCCCTCCCAGGCCAGGCCTCCAAAGAGGGCCATGTTATGATCTTCTGAGAGATACACTCAGGCCCAGGCACAGTGCTGCGGGGGAGGGAGCTTGGAGGACAAACTGGATGCTCAGATGAACACAGGCACCTGCAGCCTGCCCTCCTCAGACACCCAGAGTCTGCCTGGCCCAGCCAGGGTGGGTTTCTTTGCAATCATGGCCTGGCTGGTCGGTCTCTCTCTCTTTCTCTCTATTTCTCTCAGTCTCTCACTGCTTCTAAAGTTCCTCTGCTTTTCTGCCTGTCCCTATCTCAGTTGTCTGTGTGGGTCTTTCCCCATCTGAGTCTCTTCCTCTCCCTCATGTCTGCTCTGCCTGAGTCTTCTCAGTCCCTGTGTATCTGCTCCAGATGCCCTCACATCTCTCTCTCCATTACACATGTCCTTGAGAGCACAAGCCCTTGTCTCCATCTCTGAGGTGGATGGGGGGGCTCAGCTGGGGAGCAGAGTGCTTGCTGCTTCCTCTCATGTTTCCACCATAGGGTGTCTATTAGCACAGCACCCACCTCCCCCAGCCGGGCTTACTCCAGGCCAGCTGTGGTGAGCTTGTGTGGCTCTTCTTCCCCTCTCTCTGTCTGTATCTCCCTTGCCCCATGCAGGGTAGCTTGAGGCAGGATGGTGTCAACTTGTTCCAGGGCTCGGTGTGGGATATCTTTAAGACAAGCTTTGTGGGAACAAAGAAGGCCTTTTGGTCCTCCACCAGTCAACTCTCTTGTCTCACTTCTCAATTGGATCAGAAATTGGTGGGAGCAAAGCTGACAATTTGTTAGGTCACTCAAAGGCCCCCAGAGCCTTTGTACCTGAAATCTTGGCTTCACACCCCAAAGCCCTGGGGACTGGATGCTATGGGGTCTGCTGCCTCTTAGCAGTCTCAAGTCCCCCCTCCTGAGACCCTGCTCTTTTGTTTACCATGTCAGTCCCCCTTGGCACTAGCACCTGGGAAGATTATATTCTCCAAGCACTTGACATTGGGCCTTGGTCATGCAATGTGACTGCATCCCCTGTGGCAGGTCATTCAGTGGCCAGCACCACCCTCCCAGCTCCTGTAGCATTAGAATGTAGAACTGGCAGGAGGACACCCACAGGGCCATGGAGGATGACCGCGGAAGATGACACTGCCTGCTTTTTCTGTAAAGCGCCAGATACTGGGTTGTCCAGGTCATGCAATCTCTGGTGTAACCACCCAACTCTGTGGTTGCAGCAGGAGGCAGGCAGCATGGTGCAGCAGTAAGTGAGAGGTCCACTCCGCCAAAACCAGATTTGCAAAAACAGCCAATGAGCCAAACAGCCAGTGGCCATTACTGTGCCAATTGCTGACATAGGGGACCACTGAGGGTCCCCCAGACTCCAGTGGAGTTCCCAAGCATGGTAAAATGCACCCTCATGGATTCCAAGCCCTGAGATTGGGGCTGTCATCACAGCATAACTGAGCCTGTCACAACTCATACAGATTCCCCTCCTTGCCTTGTTCAAAACTAAATTTCTGGGTTTCAACTTTGGTGTCATTTTCTTTTATTCACACATCTCTATTCCCCATTTCTTCCCTGCTTCTTTAACTCATCAGCTGCTGTATGTATTTATCTTTATTATAGACACAAGTCTATATTTATCATTGCCATAAGAAGAATGACTTTTCTTTCTAGCAAAGATAAGATAGCATAATTTGAAGAAGGGAATATTAAACACAGAAGAGGAAAACTTTATTTAAAACATGGTGACTACAGATAAAGGTAAAGTAACTGTATTCTTAAAAATTGCTAAGAGAGTAGAAAATATGCAAAGTGCCATTCTATAATGTATACACATTTCAAAGCATGTTGTACATGATAAACATACGATTTTTGTTTTCAGTTAAAACAAGCAAGTAAAGGCACAACAATAAAAAAAAAAGAAATATTTTAAGTCCAAAGATCTGAAATTCTTTAAGTCTAGAATAAAAGATAGGGAAAGTGTGTGTTTGTCTCAGGTGTCAGAAGGAAAGAAGGTTTACAAAGCCTTAATAAGTCTGAAATAAGTAAGTCTACAAGTCTATGGAAGAGTAGAATAGATAGATTTCTGGAAACATTGGAAAGAAACACCAAACTACCTGTAGACTTGAAATCTTGAGTTTCTCAATTTTGAAAGTAAAGAAACAGGAAGAGAGAAATGTGGTATCTCAGAAGTTATTTTGACAGTCAGTTCTTTCTGTTAAAAACTGTACAGCTCAAAAGCAAGTGAGAAACTTTAGGGAAAAAAAATTTCCCTACCTTTTCAATGCAATAACCTTACATTCCCATCAGGACGCAAACCACATTGTTGGTGCTGTGAATAAATTCTGAAAAGCATCTGAGGGTGTTTAATTATACTTGGCATGGCTGTACCTTCTTACTCTTAAGACAGGAAATCCCCAGACTATTAATGGATTCAATCTCCACAGACTGAGTGAGAGCCACTCTGGCTGCCCTTCCAGGATGGTCAGGGCCAACTTCATTTCTGGGGCAACAGTAGCCCTGAATGTAAAAAGCCTTATTATGTGGTCTCCTCCTTGGAGTCCAAGCAGACACCCAACTCCACAAAGTCTTCAATGGTGCTAAAAAGAAGAATGAAATCTGTTTCAAGCCAAGCCCCATAGCATCTGCTGGGGAAAGTTTAAA